TAAGAAAATATATATATATATATTTGCTTGGACTGGCTGATTTTTTGTTGGGGCAGAAGCCCACAAAAAGTAGGAAACACACTCAGATCCCTTATTCAGAGCAGGCCAAAAGCTGGTGCTCAATGGAACACTGCCCCCTTGTGCTTCTGATTGTGCTCAGCAAATTCTACAAGAACCCAAGTTGAGAATCAGCCATAGATTATTGATTCAGGGACTATTTAATTCTTTATTATTAACAAATACATTTAGATATTTTTGGTATAGGGATAGATTTGTATTGGGTGCTTCATTTTTAAAAAAATTTTGGTTTTTTGTAGACTCCAAGTCTTGAACACCAAGAAATGACATGGCAAAAAAAAGCTAAGGTGAAAACAGCAGATCATTGCAAGGGGCACAGGAAGAGCCATTTGGAATGATTGAATGTAATGGGAAAGTGTTATATATCCTGTGTAATGCAAGTGTTGTGTGTCACACATCAAGTGTCAGACAGCACTTTGACACCAACCACAACAGTGTTGTGGAACTTGGTGAAACTGAAGGGAAATTGAGGAAATGTCATTCCCAGTATCTTAGTTTTTGCAACTATCATTTGAAAACAAATCATATGATAGCTGCTCACTTTCAAATTTCACTGTGCACAGCAAAACATGGTAAGCCCCTCTCTGATGGAGATTTTGTCAAAATAGCCATGTTGTCTGGGAGTAATTCCCTTTTTCACGATTTTCCAAACAAGGATAAAATTATGCACCACATCTCTGAGATGCCACTTAGCAGAAATACTGATAAAGACTGAGTCCTGCACATAGCAAGTGATATTAGTCAGCAGCTCACCACACTGACTTACAGAAGGCAGCCTGTTATTCCATGTGTGTAAGGAATGACTGGAAATGGCTCACATGTGCAGAGGCAAGGCAAGGCCTGTCCAAGAACAAAGAGCTCCTGAGGCAAGCCAGGTGGACAAGCTGCTTCAGTCTGGAGAATACCAAGTCCTGAGACAATCCAAGCAATCAACTGCTAAGCAAAAAGGATGTCATGTGACATCAAACTACCAAATGTATAAATAAATGCCCTACGGTGGTTGAACAGTTCCTTTCTTCCCACCAGGAGAGAGGGCTCCACCTGACCTCAGCCTTCCATCTCTTATCTTTATTTTTCCATCCTCTCACTGTCCTTCCCCCTAGGAACATCAAGAGCCACCTGGGCTGTGGCATATGTGCTTGGATGAAAGCACAGATATAAATAACCAAACTAACAAAGTATGAGCCAACATCTGACAAATTATTACCATGCATACAACAGCAAAGATCACATTAATTGTGCAAAATCATGCTAAATGCAAACTTTACCTTTCAATAAAAAGCTGTTTGTCTCATTGAAAACTCTATCATTGTGTTTTTCTTTTAAGACAAAAGATATTTAATGTATGAGTTTTTTTAAAACTAAAACCTCAGTAGTTAGGTTTAATTGCAGTGCAATTTAATTGTAATAAGTAAGTGGGTTTTGGGTTACAGTCAGGCACTTGTCTCTAAAAGGTTCACCATCAATGCAACAGGGAAATGAGTCACATAGCAAGGGTATATGGAAGGAACAAAGGCATTTTGGGGAAGGGAGGGGAGTATTTGTCCAGATGTTCAGATGTTTTGGTCGCCTACCTATGCGCATGATGCCTGGCTGGGCCCGTGGACCAGGTGGTGCTAATTACAATCTAACCTCAGGTTACTGTTTACCCGGCAGGCCTGGCTATTGCAACTCCATTCTGAGTCCTGGTTCTCTTCTCTGGTAGCCACAATGCTGATGTCTCTATTTTTGTGCTGACTTCCCTTAGGGCCCAGTCTTTTTCTGACTATAATTAATCTCTAACGTAGCTGCCTATAGTATTTGGATAGGATTTCTTTGCAGGACCTGTAGTCCTGGGATCCCCAGGAACAGGGAGGGCTACAGAGTTGTACCTAGGGCTTGTGTTTCTGTTTCCACACCCACTGACCTGGCTGCTGCTGTGTGAATGCTGAGCCCGGCCCTGCCTTTCTTACTGGGCTTACTGTTGTCTGCCTTGGAGCTGTAATCACTCAGAGGCTCTTATGTTTGTTTCCTCACTCACCACTCTCCCAAACTAGCTTTGTGGATGTGTGCAGATGAGGTGCCCCAGTTGCTCCAGAGGCTCCGTGTCCAAGCACAAGAGGATGTGGCAAACACCAAGCCAAGTTGTAACCTTCATCATGTGGGCAATTGGTGAACCCTAACAGACCGCTGAGTTTTGTGCTGTAGGGGGAACCAAACAACACAGTGTTCTGGATCCTAACATTTTTGGACCCATCTCCCTTAGAACACTACACGTAAAGGGCCTTGCTCCTCACCACAGTGGGTGGTGTTGCTATAACAGAGAATGCCACCTCCAGCCAGTATACTTCAGTTTGTTAGTTACCCAGGTAACAATTCCTGCTCCAGTTCCAGTGGCTCCTGTCTCTTAGAAAGAGCTGTTCACTGTGATACATAGCTGGTCACTATGGTATAAACCAACCCCCAATTGACAAGCCATTCTGCCTCTGTACTTCCTGCTTGCTTATCCTATATAAGCCCTAGACAGCCAGAGATCAGGGCCTGATACTCTGGGAATGATCCCAACCAGTGGCTGTCTATGTAAATAAATCTGCCTCCAAATCCTGCGTGTGGTTTTGGTGTTTCTGCTTGCTGTTGCACTGCCTACTACAGTACCCTCCAGTCCCAGCTGCCCATTGCCTGTATCTCTCCACAGTCTGCAGTTAACCTTTCCCCTCCATGACTGTCTCTTTGGTCATCTCCTACCCAATCTCTGTGGCAGGATGTGCCCAGGGACCCTCAAGTGTGGTTGTTTTGTGATTTCTGATCCCTGGAGTAGCTTACTCTCAAACAATAAGCCCCCTTTCCAAATGGCTCCTAGTTATACCACTCTGAGACACTGGCAAGTGCTGCAGAGTTCCTTCCCAAGGTTATCCAGCCAAGTCACTTTCAGAGTGAATTCCCACCTGGTTAACAGCTTGCAGTAACCAGGGTTTTCCCTGAGGCTGGACTGCCAGTTTGTTGCTTTTGTTTTTGTCTTTTTGAGACAGGGTTTCACTATGCAGTTCAGGTTGGCCTTGAACTCACTTTGTAGCCCAGACTGGCCTTGAACTCATGGTGATCCTCCTGCTTCAGCCTCCCAGGATTACAGGTGTGTGCCACAACACCCAGCCATTGCTTACTACTGAAGTTGCCAGCCCTCTCCAGGCTTACCTTGTGTTTGTGGGGTCAGGGCTCCCCTACACGTGGAGCTTGGGTTGGTGTTGTGGATGGCTTTGTGTTTTCTCCACACTGCCTGTTTCTCCATTTTTAGCTCTTTCTTGATTCCTATAGATCTCTTTGTCCTCACTGGTCAGCTCTTTTACAACTGTCTTTATTCCAGTTCTCAGAGAGTCTTTGAACTGCTCCTACTCTGTCATCTTGACTCCTTGTTTTTTAAACACTTTGTATTAATTTTTGTATACAGTGTTGAGGAGTTATGTTCCAGCTTCATTCCTTTGCAAGTGTTATCCAGTGGTCCTGGCCTCGTTTCCTGAGAAGTCCATTTTTCCTTTTGTAGAGCTATCTTGGCACCCTATGTCAATTGAACACAAGTGTAAGGATTTATTTCTACACTCTTAATTCTATTATGTGGATCTGCTACTGGACAGTTGGTTTCAGTCTCCCCGATTTCCAGGCCCTTTGTATCTCAAAGAGGTGAGCAGGACACACAGAAGCAGTAACAAAGTAACAGAGTCTGCTGAAGGGAAAGTACACTTCACAGAGTAGGAGCAGGCCAATGAGAAAACTCGAAAGCAAGTTTGACTCAGAATGGCCCATGTGTGTTTTAGGTTGGAGACTAAAGTACACTTAGGAAAGTTTCAAGTGGGCACCAGCACCTAGAGAAGGCAGCTGTCGGTGAGGAAAGTACACTCTCAGTGGAGAGCTGGCAGAGCCAGGGATGGCCACTGTTCTCCTCTTTTGTTTTCCTAGAACTTGCGGAGTGGCCAAGCTTGGTAACTACAAGGTTGTAACTGGACTTTTCCCCAATCAATTGCAAGTCTCCATCCTCACCTGGGGAGGGAGAGTTTGTGAACTTATATGGGCCTTGATGTCCACAGCCCACAGGGAAGAGGCATCATGCTGATGATATTATAATGACTGTGGCATCATCCTCAGTGGTCACTCTAAAGCAGAGCACATGCTCCTTGAGTTTGTGCCAGAGGTCAAGGAGTGTGATGAGGGCATTTTTGCCAGGCTCATGTCAGGGTGTTAGGGAATACAGTGAGACCAGGATGCTCTGATGGTCTCTGAGAGCCAGAAGGCATTCTGTCTGCTGTGAGCCTAAGGCCAGGGTGTCGCACACAGCCTCCTGCCTGAGATGTGCACACGGTGCCTACTTGTGTATGCATAGGCCACAGTTTTGGTTACTGCGGTCTGTGGTAAACTTTGAAGTTGGGCTGTGAGTCTTCCAACTTTGTGCTTTGTCAATATTGTTTTCATTATTTCGGATTCCTTGAATGTCCATATTAATTTTAGGGCCAGATTATAAATTTCTGCAAAGAAGCCAGTGGGGACTTTGATAGGAATTATGTTAAATCTGTAGATCAAATTTGGGAGTATTCCCACTTTAACAATAGTGTCTTCCAGTACATGAATGTGGGATGTCTTCCATTTATGTACTCTTCTTCATTTCATCTGGTAACTTTTTGTAGCTTTCAGAGTGTAAGTTTTGCTCTTCTTTTTATTAAATTCATTCCAAAGTATGTTATTCTTTTTGATGTTATTGTAAAATGGGTTTGTTTTCTTAGTTTTTCAGTTTATTCAATGTTACCACACAAAAATAACATTAATTTTTACATTAATCTCGTATCCGGCCAGGGATATAACTCAGTAGCACAGCACCTGCTTGGCAAGTGCAAGGTCCTGAGTATGATTCCTGGTACCAAAAAAAAAAAAAAGAAAGAAATCTCATATCCTGCAACTATGTGGAACTCATTTTATTACTTCTAATTGTTTTTCAGTTAATTCCTTAGAATTTTCTACACTTAAGATCTTGTCATGTACAAAAGCACAGCATCTTTATCCTATCAAATCTATACAAAATAAAATACATGAAACAAAGTAGATAATAAAATTTAGAAAAACAGAAAGCACCTGGTTCTGAGTCTTGGCTCAGCCACTTACCAGCCGGGTTACCTGAGGTAGACTATTTAATACCTATAAAATGGAGATGATAAGAGAACAGAGTATAAAATACTTAATATAGTGTGGAATATATTGTAAAGCTCAATAAATGTTACCTAGCCGGTCATGGTGGCACACACCTGTAATCTCAGCACTCGGGAGGCTGAGGCAGGAGGATCACTGTGAGTTTGAGGCCTGCCTGGGCTACAAAGTGAGCTCAAAGCCAGGCTGAACTGCACAGAAAGACCCTGTCTCAAAGACAAAAAAAAATACATACATAAATACATGTTACCTAACATCAAGATTATGAAAGAAATTTAAAAATTAAAAAAATGACAGATCAGATTGTATAACCATGTTAAAATGTCTTTATCAAAATCAACCATTAAGTGCAATACTATTTATAGCTGAGAATACTGAAAATGGTATGTTCACTGAATGGAGACTAGTTAAATTATACACGTTTACAGTAAAATTTCATGCAACTACAACAATAATCATGTTTCTAGGTCAGGACCTATCAGTATTCCTTAGCATCATTTTGGAGGAATTACCTGATGTAAATAGACAAATGAGAAAATAGAGGTAAAAACTAGAAAGGAGTAAAATTTAATTGTCTATCATGCACTTATATCCCTCCCCATCAAAGAGAATCAGCTGAAAAACTTACAAAAAAAAAAAAAGATCTATGCCCTGAGGGCAGAGCGCACAAACAAGGACCCCGAGGACATTACAGACTGAGTCACTGCCGTCACGGCACCCGTGGCAGAGAGGAGGTCCTGACTCAGAGGCCCCGGGGACTTCTTTGGCTGGGGGCTGGGCGAGCAGACTGTCTGAGCCCCGTGTGCCCTGCACCGAGACAGCAAGTACTCCGGGAGCTGCAGGGCCCATTGGTTAGAGTCTGTGCTTGGCCCACACCGCCAAGGTTCCCAGCTGAAATGTGCGGAGAGAACCAGGTATTTTCCATCTACTCCCTGAGGGCAGAGCGCGCAAACAAGGACCCCACCAACATTACAGACTGAGTCGCTGCCGACCCGGCACCCACCGCAGAGAGGAGGTCCTCACTCAGAGGCCCCAGGGTCTTCTCTGGCTGGGGGCTGGGCAAGCAGACTCTCTGAGACCCGCACAACCTGCGCTGAGTGAGCGAGTGCTCCAGGAGCTGCCGGACACGTGGTTCAAGTCCGTGCTCTGCCTTTGCCCAAACCATCTAGCGAGTCAAAGGCTGGGGAAGTCTGTGACTGCTACCCATCTGGGCTGCATCCTGTATGTGTCCTGAACTGACTGGAGACATAGATTCAGGTGGTTCACAAACCGTAGACCCTGCAGTTTGTGTCTGAATTATGCCTGTACCCTAAACTGCCTGGAGACATAGGTCCACTGGACCAGGATTGTCACACCAGTGCAACTTGAGTCAGGTCGTGCATGTGCACTGAACTGCAAGGGGACGCTGGATCAGATGGTCAGCCATCAACTGACACAAGTGCCCATGTCTGAGAATGGGGATAACTAGATACAAATCAAAAACTGCCGGAAATCCTGAGACTAAGTAGCGCTACTCAGAGGTCACCCAGAGGCAAACCCAAACAACAGGAAAAATAGGGACACTAGTGGTCTTGGCTGAGCAGCTACTGAAGAGGGAAACTGAG